GCTTATCAACTCTCCAGCATATTCGGCGATGAACGAACCCTAAACGTAGCTAAATGAGAACCATTTTCAAATATGTTTAACATTCAAATCCCTGGCAAAGGTGTCTTTTGAACTAGTTGCAAAAAATCACCACATAAATCAAACGTCTCAGCCGAAGAAACGGTTAACAACAATTTGAGGAAATAATGAAAAGCACAAAACTAATTACAGGCTAAAATAAATGTCATTGCAACGAACAATATATTTTTAGTAACAAACCTTTGGAATGTCTCTTACTGCAAATGCTCCCAATCCCTTTCCAGGAGCTTCACGAATTTCCACATCAGGGTTGACTTCCTTACGAGATACACCTCTATTGTTGCAACCACCTTCGATCGCCTCACAGGCCTAAAAGATTCTACAACATTACTGATATAAAATACAATGCTTCAGTGCAAAACTTACCTCAGGACACTCCTGTAAGATAGCGCGATTAGTGCACTTAGAGTTAGGACCACATCTTCCATTCTCACCGGCTGGGCAATCGCACATACTGTCACTTTCCTCGCATGCATCGAGACGCGGTTTCGGACAACTCGGATGATATACTGAAGTCTGAAATGCTAGTGTATAGTTAATCTCACAAAAAAAGAGATAAGAAACTTGAGCCATTGACAGTCCCTATTTGGCTTACATGCCTTAATTTTGATATACTTCTCTGGAACGTAATCGAATGTTGGTCGAGAGATGGATAGCTCGCTCTCCATTTTTTCCCATGCTAAACATTGCTTAACTACATGAATAAAGTCAAAATGAGCTAAATGTTCACAAAAATGATTGTCTGACAGGAAATGGAGTGTCAAAGCGCATACCTTCCCTACAAGGTGTTTCCGAGATGCGTTTTCCAATGAGAGCGTATGAACCATCAAACATGGGGACAATACTTCTAGCTGGCAACAGCGCGAATATATTGTTACATCCTGCCCATTTCACACAAACATAGCCAGGTTCGCCAAGATGTTTACCATACTTGTCTCTGTAAAAAAACGCATTTGAAATGGAGGAATTTTTTTCAAAAAACCAACTTTTTAGCACAGTGCTTAGGGTAATCGGCCAAACTCGCAACTGTTGCTGCGTAGAACCTGAAAAAATATATAGCTGTATCAAAGGAAATGATCAAGTGCAGTAGCTTACGATGTTTTAAATCTCGCAATCACTGCCTGCCCAACTCGTAGGTTTTCACCCAAGATACAGGACTCGCAAACGGGATTGGAAGAATTGATCTGTATATCGCGGCAGTTGAGAGTGAGACAGCCTTCATGGAAGGACCTCACACACAGAGAACATTTTATCAGCGGCTCTTCGTCTAAAAAATAACACTCATATTAAAAGATATTGATGCATGCGCATTTCTACCCACTTTTTATGGTTAGCAACTTATACAACCGCATGTAAATCTTAAATTTTGTGGGAGACAGATAAAAAATAGAGTTAGAACACCCCTTCGACTTAGTTATTTTGTTAGATGAATGATTTGTCTTTTCTTCTCTTTTCCCACTTTCTTAAGAAAGCTAAACCTTATGAGGAAATCGAGACACCATACAGAACGAAAATACAGAAACATATAAGATAATTATCTCATTTTTAGAAGGAAATTCTGATATCGCCAGGCTGACAAGC